GCTGCTGGTGTTGGTCATCTCACTGTCTGTGATGGCACATTGAACTCTACCAAGTATTGTACCATTCTCGAAACCCACATGCTCCCTTCTGCGTGTGCACTGTTCCGTCGAGGTAAAAACTGGATGTTTCAACAAGATAATGCCCCTTGCCACACATCCAAGGCCAGTAGAACTTGGCTGCAGGAGCACAGTATCCAGGTCTTAGAGTGGCCAGCTCAATCCCCGGACATGAGCCCCATTGAAAATCTGTGATGGATTATCAAAAGGTCTGTTTCAAAGCATAAACCAAAGAATTTAGAAGAATTAAAAGCAGTAATTCAAGAAGAATGGGACAAGATTACCCCTCAACAGTGTGAAAGGCTCGTGGGGAACATGCCAGCCAGGATTAGAGCTCTGCTACGTGCCAATGGCAGGACTACTAAATATTAATTTGATGATGTGATGTTTTATTTATTTTTTGTTCAGTTTTGAACACATTCTCTGTTATTTGTTGACTTTGATACCAACAATGTTGAGAACTGACATATTGAAACTGTCAAGAATTTTAGTTTTGTTAGTTTTTCTTGTAAACAATAAACAAAAAAAATATAATTTGTATTTGTTTGTATCTGTCTAATGCAGCCACACCTTTTGAAACACAAAAAAGATTTTTCCACAAATATTTCATGATAATATTTGAGATTGTGTAAAATTTTAAGGGTGTCCGAAAACTTTTTTCCACCACTGTATGCCTTACGTAAAGATCTAAGATGCAATCTGAGATTGACATTTCCTGTCTGTGTCAGGCATGAATGGGCACAGTGTTCCAGCCGTGCAGGCCTTGTAGTTTGCTTCCAACACTCGCCCGTTTATAGTTTCCTAACATGGTGACTGGGATTACTGATTCCACATCTGTTGCAGCAGCTTTTGCCCACACAATGCTTCTGAATGGGCACAGTGTTCATGTGCTGCGTGTGTGAGAGCAATGGCAGCTAGTGGTGGGAAATGATGATCGCTATTTATAGAGCCTTGAAAATACCACAGCTTCCGTCACTCTGCCAGTCGTCAGCCAAGATGTTGAGAGTGTTTAACAGAGTGAAAGGGTCAGAGAAATTTAGAGAGAGACATTAACTAACTAATCCTTAGGCACTGATTCATGCAGACTTAGCAACACCTCTGTCATTAACCACCTGTAAGTTTTACCTCAATAAAACATAGTGTTAAAGAGCAATGATTAATTTTCCCATGAGTACTATCTAAGGTGAGACTCTCCCAAGAAGGAAAACTCTTTGCGAACATTGCATCTCTAGAGCAGTGTAAGCAGACACACACTGGGAAGTAAAACAAACATTCCTTCCAAGCGTGGATCATGGAGTTCTGATAATAGCTCACATGGCTCAGAACTGCTTCCTAGCACTACTTTTCCCACAGATTTCACACACAGAAGCCCCAGTTCTCTCTGTTGCATCATACTGCTGTTGGGGGAAAAAGCAGGGCGTTTAAAACTTCACTGAGCAGTTTAGGTCCAAGATACTGATCAGATCTCCTGACCCAGAATGAACCTTGCTAGCTCTGGATTATTGGTTGTTCCCAGAATCAAGACTAAACATGAAGATGCCTGTAGCTGCTATGCTGGTCGAAAGAAGAACTTATTGCAAGAAGACTTGAAGAAGACAATGTTGACTACAAGCTAAAGACCAACTGTTTACCATTGCATTTAATTGATTTGTCATTTTTGTCACTTTTATAGTTTTTACTCTGTGTGCTATATGTGTGTGTTTCTTGCTTTCACCTGTGTAAGCTATAAAACAATTAGGGTTGCCTTTTGGTGTAAAATGTGCTATATAAATACATTTTACTTGCCTAAAAAACATATTTTTTAAAACCATATGCACTCAATTTATTCTGGTCAATAATATGGAAATGTGTCTAAGACCCTGATATTTTAAAAATAATAACAGATGTTTGCATTATTTGATATCTTGGTGTTCTTATGCTGCAATGTCAAAATTCTGCATAGAAGTCCAGTAGCAACACCCAAATTAGATCAAAATAACAATGTCCAATTTCATATAGAAGAATGTAGTACAACTAAAAAACATGAAATCACTATATATTCAAAGTCTGGCTCATTATTGCACAACTGTCGAGGCATAAAATGTCACTGTGATCAAATCTGACTGCTCAAGACTATAAACAATGATTTCATCTACCCACTAGGAGGTGTTATAGGGCTTCACAAAGCATGAATTTCCATCTTGGCTTATAAAGTTCTAAGTTTATTTATCCTGGTGCCCCCAGAACACATCCCCTGACAGTAGACATGTAATTCTTTGTTTCTTTACTATCCTTCACAAGCTTTTAGAAAAGACAGGAATGTCACATTTAAGTTAAGTGGTTTTAATAAATAACAACTATAAGGTGCTCTTCTAATAGCTTGATGCAGCTTAATCACAGTTTGCTACAGTAAACAAAAGCGTGCAGTGAAGTCCTCTCACTTGACCTGTATGATCAAGATCAGCTGTTCAAAACCAAAGCTGCATCTTTTAGACAGCAGCCAAACAGTGGAAATCCACAAGCAGAATTACTGCAAACACACAACAGAGGCCAAAACCGTCTGTTTTAGCCACAGCGTATGAGTAGCCACTATAAGGCCATTATGTCAGATGAAGGCAGCAACACAAATTATAAGCTAGTGTTAAATAAAAGTATGTAGCAGTTCATATTCTGCACAGTGTTATAATGCTATGCCACGTAATAGAACAGCTACTGTGCAATGGCTTGAAAAGAATTTGGTAATGTGTCAATAGAAGTGAGATAATTAATCTCAGACATGGTGAGAAGCCAAACACTAAAGTGATTTAATGTCAGCTTGCAACATCAGAATGACTGGAGTTCACGCAGAGGCCAACTGAGACATTTTTTGCTATTCATTTAACCTTAAGAGGCACTAATGTGGTTGATTAACTGTGTGTTTTCTCAATTTTCCTTCACCTATCCTTGTTAATTAGCTGGTTTATCTCAGTCTAGTTTAGTTTAAGCGTGGAGGTAATAAAGTTTCATTGAACAGTCAAGAAAAGGCTAGTGTTAGACTTGAGTCAAGTTAGTTTTGTCAAACCAGTCTTTCCAGTGTCAAGAATGAAGTTTAATGCCTGACAAAAAAACATACCTGGGTTCTTAAGTCCCTAAAACCCCCTTTAAATTACATCTGAGTAACTACAGAATTGGCTGAGAATGTCCCCATGTAACTCTTCTACCCTCTCCTGGAGTTCAGTCTGGTTTATCATATAATATTCTATTTGTTGAGTTGTCCTCTCACAGATGCATGTGACTGCCCTCCTGCCCTGAAGTTAAGAATTATTCCTTTCACAGTCTGGGTGAGGAAAATGGATCTGTGTTTGGCCGAGGAGGGGGGAAACAGAGTAAAATGCTGACATCATGCTGACAACATCACCAGACAAAAACAACAACTGGAAAACTCCACCGTCATGGTAAAAATGTACGACTTTTACGAGACGTTTTGGGACAGAGAATGTCTTCTTCTATTAGACATGTTTTGAGTGTCCAGCACATCATAATAATAGTACTGCAAATGTGCAAATATACTGTGCATGCACAATCACAAATCTTATTTTTATAAACTGGTCAAAGGTTTTGTTTGCCACTATGCAATGTAAATGCAGTACTTAATACTCCAATAAAACGTCCTCCATACTGGCTCAAAATGCATCCATACATCTGAGAGCTGTTCTTTCCTTTCATAACTTTGATATCTGCTCATTAAACTGCATCTTTAGTGCTCTGTAATATTTTATCTATTGTATGTGGGGCCCATGTGAGTAGGAAATAGGCTGAAGAATGCACCCTATAAAGGACTGTCTGTGGGTTCCATATTGGCCCCATGCCCATTGCCCACATGGGTGGGTTTACCCAAGTGGTCCGCACATGGGTTATGCTCGCGCTACTTGGCTACCAAGTAGGTATGGGTCCAAAATGTTCATCTTATCTGGGGCCCACTTGGGTAAACCCACCCACATGGGGGCCAATATGGAACCTGTGAACAATCCCATACAGGGCCTATTTTTCAGCCTATTTACTACCCACATGGGCCCCACATGCAAATGTTGGCTTGGTCCCATTTCACATATCAGTACCTTATTCCTAATATGCTGTTTCTCCTCAAATCTGTTTTTAGTACCTCTCAAAAGATACATACCATGACTGTTGCACTGGTGGCACGATGCTGTGGGCAGTTATTGGGCAGAAGTAACTTCAACAGCTTTATTTTATCATATGGATTACTGGATTACTGATTACTGTCTCCTCAGCTGCTCTTCCCAAGGTTTCCACCGTTTTTTTTTTTTTTTTACCCGTTAAAGGGTTTTTCCTTATCCGCTGTGAGGGTCCAAGGACACAGGGATGTTGTATGCTGTAACGCCCTGTGAGGCAAAGTGTGATTTGTGATATTGGGCTTTAGAAATAAAATTGAATTGAACTGAGCTGTAGTAAGATGTTTTACTGACCAAGTTCATCACCTACAGATGAAAAGGAGGAAAAGCAACAATTGGTTCAGCAGTCCATAAACCCTCTTGCTTAAAATGGCCCTTTCTGCATACTTTTGTCTACTTAAATGTATAACTATGTCCATGTACCTCCTTGTGAAATAGAGAACAGGCTGAGTTCTGCTGTCAGCAGCTTTTTTTTTTTTTTGCTTTAATGTGGGTTTTTGCAACTAAGTTAAGTATTTAAATTACATTTTAAATTGTAACATCATTTTGATAATGTAAACAGGAGGTTATTATCACATTAAATATTATAATATACATAATAAATGGATAAATGTGGGGTTAAGAGAGAAACACAATGAAAAGTCAATAAGGTACAATGTACAGCATGAAGGTCAGGGAACAGAACGCCCACCGCTGTGATTGGTCGAGAGATAACAGAGGGGTATTTTAGCGGGATCTCATTGGATGTGGAAACCCGGAAGTAGGCGAGTAACCAATCCACGGGATAAGAGCACGGATAAAAGTCCTCACCGGTTCGGCAGCCAACGAGTGGACCTGTCCTCTTTTCTGGAGTGGAGAGTGTAACATCTTCTGCATCATTTTAAAAAGATTTACCGTAATAGACTAACTTTTATTTAGGTTTATTATCATAAATCATGGCTGTGTACAAGTTAGTGCTGATTCGTCACGGAGAGAGCAACTGGAACCAGGAGAATCGGTTCTGCGGCTGGTTCGATGCAGATCTGAGCGAAACCGGAGAAAAGGAGGCGAAGAGAGGTGGACAGGCCCTGAAAGGTGAGGACGAACTGATTCAATTTGATCCTATCATCCACTGTAATTGTCTCTGAAATACCTTAGGGTCAATGCACGGATACTATTACATAATGTCCCCTGCATCAGACTCTCGACCGCGCCCCCTTCCCATATGTGGTAGATGTGCAAACGTGCAGAAATGATGCATTCATGTGGCTGCTCTGGTACTGTGTTATTACAGGGCCACAGAGCAGGACAGTTTCTACAGAATTTATCATTTAATTTAATTATTATTAATCATGTTATTCTCTTTGACCCAAGAACAATCTGTTGAAAAGTGGAAAATCCACTGTAAAGCAAAGCAGTTTGCATCTTTGGGTCATGTAGTTTGCTCTTTATCAGCTGGAGAACAAGAAGAAATCACAATAGAGACGCATAGGCCCATACACTGAGAGCAGCCTCAGTGAATCAGACTGCAGTGAAGCTAGAGCTGCAACCATTAGCTGATTAATCACTTGCTCAACTGAAAGACAAATCAGCAATTATTTAAACATCTAGCAATGGTTTCAGTCATTTCAAGGAAAAATACCAAACATTCTCTGGTTCCAGCTTCTCAGATTTGATAATTAGCTTTTTTCATCTGTCATTTTTGACAGTAAATTAATAGAAAATATCTATGAATATCTTTAGTTGTGTAGACTGTAACAACCAATGATAATGAAAGCAGTCTTTAGTTGCAGCCCTTAATGCAGCCGTGTTACACCTTGTAGTTCTGCTTGGGACTCAGTGGCTTCTCTCTTATTGTGTCCTTTCTAAGTTATGTGTCATGCAACAAGTGCAGACTTGTTACTCCCAGAAGGCATTGCAGGGGAATTTACTCACTAAATAAAGCTGAGTGTAGCCGTCACAGTATCCAAGTGGAATATGCAGTCTAAATGCATTAAACTCCAGTGTCTCTCTCTCTCTCTCTCTCTCTCTCTCTCTCTCTCTGAAACTTACAGATGCAGGCTTTCAGTTTGACATTTGTTACACCTCTGTGCTGAAGCGAGCCATCAGGACACTGTGGCTAGCCCTGGACAGCATTGACCAGATGTGGGTGCCGGTGCATCGGACCTGGCGGCTCAATGAGCGTCACTACGGAGGCCTGACGGGACTAAACAAGGCAGAGACTGCCGCCAAGCACGGAGAGGCTCAGGTGAAGATCTGGAGGCGCTCGTTTGACATCCCACCTCCCCCCATGGGCCCAGACCATGACTACTACAGCATCATCAGCAAGGTAAGATATGATATCTAAAGCTATGTTTGCCTGTGAGGAAAGAGATGGTTCTGTACATATTGATCAACTGTCGACACACAGGCATAACAAAGACGAGGCATGACTATAACTTATCTCTGCATTCAGGCCCCATAATCAGCTGTGTCACCATGAATGAGAGAAATCAGCAGAAACAAGTGGAGTGTTTAGAGTAAAAATAGTGGGTTTAAGGTCTTTTTGTCCACAGCACAGTCAGCTAGAATGTCCAAATATTTTACACGTACAACAGTGTAAATGAAATCTGACAGCCGCACCACACACTATTTGGGAGCGCATGCTCTCATGTTGTTGCCCAATAGTATGCCCAAGGTGAGTTAATATATGACAGGCAGAAATGAGGTCTGCCTGGTTCAAGTTCAAAGTTCAGTCAAGGTGGATCAGAGGCCTGTGTAGACAGAGGTAGTCAGATGTTAAGATGTAGTAACTCAAAGCTGGCAGATCAGTCAAAACTAAGTGGATAAGTGATCATCAGTATGTTCATTATGTTATAAGAAGTGTCATTAAGGGAGCAGATTCTTTCATGCCTGCAAATGACTTACTTACTCTTACTGAATGCATTTAGGCCCTTTCTCTATTCTGCTCTATTGTGTCCTTTATGTATTAAGATTGTCCTCCCTGCAGGATCGTCGCTATGCAGATCTGACCGAGGACCAGCTTCCTTCCTGTGAGAGCCTTAAGGACACCATTGCACGGGCGCTGCCCTACTGGAATGAGGAGATAGCCCCTCAGATCAAACGGGGAAAGAGGGTGCTCATCGCTGCTCATGGAAACAGTCTGAGGGGGATCGTTAAGCACCTGGAGGGTGGGTGGCGCTATAGAGTTTATATGCAGAACTAGGGAGTACTTCTCAGCACAGATTTAGCCAATGATTCTGCCATGGTTTGTCATTTTTTTTTTCAGTTTTCATAGTTCATCTCAGCTGACAATACAATGCCTTTTGCCTAACTGTTTTGTATTTTATTAAGTAATGAGATTTTTAAGTTAAGGGCTGTTCACACTTCTTAAATGTTGATTGAATTTATGTAAAGACCAGTATATACTTCTTTTGCACTTGTATAACCACTTAATATTGTGACATAATGAGAGTTTTACTCTGTCCAGATATACATTTATACTTCTTAAATACTTAAGAAGTGAATGCATCCAGTATATAACCACAAACCGTTTTGGTGATCCAGTGTTTACACTGAATAGCAACATCCTGCAAATTCTCTTCCCTCTGTACATAACTGATCTGTATGTATGTGCTGCCACCTGTAGGAATGTCCGATGAAGCCATCATGGAGCTGAACCTGCCAACAGGCATCCCCATCCTCTACGAGCTCGACAAGAACCTGAAGCCCGTGAAGCCGATGCAGTTCCTGGGAGACGAGGAGACTGTATGCAAAGCCATGGCGGCCGTGGCCGCTCAAGGAAAAGCCAAGAAGTAAAGACGGAGAAAAGCCAGCTCTGTGTATGACAGAGTGGGTTGTCCCTAACACCTGACCTCAGATTAGTGTTTTTCCTAAATCCTAATTTATTTTGGATTGTAATACATGAAGAGTACACTGCAGATTGTTGTCAAAGGCAACCTCACTCTACTTGCACACTGCAGGGATAGTAGATGGTGAAAGATTGGGATATATTAGGGCCAGGGGAGCCATAGCTCTCAAGAGATTGTAAAGAATTTTGCTAAAATGGTCCATTAATATGACAACCTCTGAGAATGTAGCACTGAAATGAAATTAATAGCATTGCTGATAAAGACAGTTTCTTATCTCTTTACTTGAATATTTAAGTAGTAGCCCTTTTAATGATTAAAACATTGTCATCAAAACACACAACATAGTTTGAGAAAGACAAGAGTCTAATGCTGTGGTGCCCAAGGCTGGGATGTTGAATGTCAGAGCTGATGAGAGTTTTGATGCCACACACACACACACACACACACACACACACACACACATATAAGGTTGACAACACAATTAAGACAAACAGAGGAGAATAAGCATCTGTTTGCCCATGTGTATACTGTATGTTTCTTTGAGATACTGTTTTACAAATGCACTTATGGTCTTAAGAAAGTTATGGTCTGATTATACTGACTTCATCATTACCTGCCTGGGACAACAGTATTATTTATCAGATGACTTAGGCAGTGGGATATTGTTGTCTATTGTAATGTAATTTAAAAAATACTTAATTTTATTTACGCTCTATGGCAATTTTTAGAGTTTGTGTGAGACTTTTTTTTAACATGAAAGGGACCACTGTTAAGGATAGACAGAATATTTTCTATCTCACATTTCAAAGCATTTAATTGATGCATTCCACTGATGAAGGGATGCAATTCTGCAGTCTCTTGAGAGCAGGATGGGACAGTTAGGACCTCAGTCCTTTTCTCTTACTTTAAGTAGTATTTGTGTCGTGTCCTACTATGTTATTTGTGCGGTGTCTGACCATTTGTATTTTTTCTCTGTGTGTTTCATCAAGTTTAGTCCAATTTTAATGGTGCCTAACACTGCAGTATTGCACTGTATAAGTGATAAACCCATTATTTTGATTAAAGCCAGCCAGCTTCACAGTACTTTAACCGAAGATACGGTCTAAATTTTCTGTGTTTGACTGCCATAAGTCTGTCTCTGCCTCTTGGTGTCATAGTATTTACGTGCCTCCACCTCCTCTTCCTACCGTAAATGCCTAGGCTGGCCTCACTGCCTAATGAGGAAGCAGTGGTGGTTTTAAGAAAACAGTCTGCTAAGATTTGGTTTGAAATGTCCCATTGTGTCTTACAGTACTGCCATTTTTCTTTGTTAAATGTAAATCCCTCTGTGCTGATTAAATGTACCCCGAACCTCTGATGGTAATAAATGTACACATCTAATGCTGTTGTGTCTGCTTGTCCTGTTTTACATAAATATATATATATTTTTCCACGTAGTATAGTAGAGTTACATGCTAACCTCAGGTTAGCTGGTCAGTTCATTTTTAATATGAAAATACAAGTATTGGTGGCCAAACTCACTTATATCAGCAGCCTATTTAAAGTAACATTAAAATTGGAAAATCATTTTTTAAAGATGTGCTTATCATCTCTCCCAGACCAAACATGGGAACTTGACCAACATGAATGTATATCAAATTAATTTTCTTTGTTTATTTACAATTTACTTTGTTTTTCATGCAACTCACACAGATGGCCATTATAAAGAAGGATTTTAGGGAAGGACTCTGGTCAATAGAAGTGAACAATAACCACTACATAAAATGATCCATAAAGAAAAAAAGCCATGAAAAATACTTATCAATCAAAAGTTGAAAAAATAAAATAAAAATTCCTCTCAGAGAAGATGAACTTCGGTCGATTTTGTTGGACTATCCCTTTATGTTGGACTCCAAGTTCCACAATGCATTTCGCATAGTGAAGCGATTCGGCTTCAGCGGCTGCAGGCGGGAGTGGAGCAGACGATGAGATGTTTGTAGCATTGGAGCTCTGGGTTTTGTCAATGTCTGTGCATACTGTCAGCCGGTCTCGTCCTCAAAATGAGAAAAGCAACAGAAAACCAAGGAAACACTCGGTAAGAAAACCTGCGGGCTTTATTTGCACTCCATGGCTAAGTTGACAGCGCGTTAGCAAGCTAGCTAAACAGAACACTTCCTGAAATAGGAACTTGCTAATATTCAGTTTTATGTAGTTAGGCAGGCACTGTGAGTGAGTCCGTTATGTCTGCTCGACTACGTAGTTACTGTAAAGAGGGCTGTTCGTGTTTGTCACAATGTAAAGACTTAACGGTAACCAACACTGCCGCCATGTTCACACCTTCATGTCAGTTATCTAGCTAGCGTTAGCTACCTACTTCGTTTAGTTGTTAGCATAAACACTAACTTTACTAACATTTATCTTTGTGTTAACGTTACTTTGTTAACGTGTGTTTGTGTTTGGGGTTTTTCAAGGGGTACTGCGGATAAATAATATAATTTCAAAGCGACACAGCCGCAGGATAAAGTTATGATATTTTCTCGTGTTGTTGTCACTAGCGTAATGTGATTGGCGAGCTGACTAGCAGGTGTCTTGTTGGTGATGGCCAGGGGAAGAAAGAAGCACGGGACATTACGTCACTTGTAGCGCGTGTACAGTAGGTAGTACTGTACGTGCAGTTAATCAACGGTGAAACCAACCGTCAAACCGTTAATTATAGCTAATAATATTTAGGAGTGTTAACTTTAGCCAGCTCTCTCGATAATGTTTCCCACTACCTGTACTTCTGTATCATTTTACTTGAAAACTACGCTGCTAAACTGCTTTATTGTCGTCTTGGTGACTTTGATAATCCAAACATGATCAGTTCCTCCTCTCTGGCTTTCTTACAGAAAACATACTGAAAATTTATCCCCGAGGAATAAAGGTGGGTCAGAGTGTCGCATCCTGCTCCGTCAGGTGCTGCTGTCTGCTGAAAATAACAGAGTATTAATTAGATTTACACCGTGATGCTGGTCATAACACAACTGTTTATTATGGTGAACTTTAAGTTCCTGTAGAGCAGCCTGGTCAACGTTAGTAGGCATTCAGAGTTGTTTTTACTGGGTATACCTATCCAAAACTAATAAATAAAATGCAGTTCATTCAACAACCCAGCTATAAATAAAAATAAAAATTATAAATGGATGTTTTAAAGAGGTGTTGATTCAGTTTTGTAGTAGTTTTGGAGCAGTTTGTTTGTTTCCCTTTGAAGGTGGTTCCTGTATTTTGTCCACCCCACCTTTGTGAATGAGAGTATTGTACTGCATATTTACATGTTGAGATGTTGCAAATGAGGGACATGCGATATGAAGATAACTAGAGCATTTACAAAACTAATGCAAACACAGTGTTCTTTGTAGGATTTATAGAAAATAAGAAAATAGAAAAAAGAAGAGACAAACAAAAAACAAAAAAAGGAGACAAAACACCCAACTTAAACGATCCCTAAAACTCCCACATTAAATTGGTGATACGAATGACATTACACTGTTATCCTCTCCAAATGTTGAATAAAATGTTGCTAGCTGGCATGAAATTAGTTCACCTGCTCATTTCTAATATATCTGATCCTCTCTGCCTCAGAAGTACTGAAAAGGTCATCAAACCACATTTTAACATTAGGGATGTTTTTACCCTTCTACAACAATAGCAAGCAACTCACTCAAGAGAAGAAAATAGGTTAAAAGTCATTTTTGAGCCAGTGTGAGGTTGTTAAATGTTAAAAATAATTGTGTATGGTTCAAGCTCAATTCTTGAATCTAGAATTATTTGAAGTTTTATGACAAATGGTGCACCAGTTCTTCTGAATCTTAGGACACATTATAAAACAATTTATTAGAGTGGCTTCATTAGATTGCCACTTATCGTACAGAACGGATATAGTGGGGGAACCATTTACTGATCTTATATTTGTGCATATGCAGTCTACGTGCTATTTTCAGTTACATTAGGCAGTGTTTGACATTAATAGAGCATTCATTCATTCAATTGTTACTTTGCAATCTGGATATATAAAGCTTTTTCCCATTTCTCTCTTATCTAGAAGAGTTTACCTTTTCCCCCTGCAGAGCTGTTTAAAGGATATATACCAGGCAACGAGTATATGGTGGGAGCTTGACAATGGATCTAAGTGTAGAGTCAGTTTACAGTCTCATAAGATGGTATGAACTTCTGAACATAGTCTTTTGTCTGACAGATTCTGAGGAAGTTAAATCTAGATAATTTGAATATGTCAGCCAGTTGTCTTTGTGGTCAGTGGACATATTTATTGTGCACTGGTGAAACACACTCCTGTCAGTGTATATGCAGTTATAGCTATGTGGTGGCGTAATTAATATTTGGTGTGCTGTATGGTGTTTTCATGGAAGTACATATAACGAGAGCCATGCAGTGCACACAATGTTGACTCAACAGTCTATCCATTCAGTTTTTAAAATACATTAAAAGCCCCTATGAAGAGGACAGCTATCAATGTGATGTGATATGTTGTGATTGTAATTGTTATAATCATGTAATTGTCATAGTCTTTGTTACTAATCTTGTACTAATCTTTAGACCCCAGTAGGGCTTTGGTGGTAGTGAGTAGCCTGACATCACCTGACCGTATCACAAATGTCAATCTGCATCTGCCCCGAGCAAATAAAACATGAGTCATTTGTCTTTTTTCCCAGGCAAGGCAGTGAGGGCTTACCCTCCCAAACTTAGGCTTGTTTGAACAGTGTTAAACTAGCAAGTAAACAGGTCCTTAAATTTTCCTGGCGCCTTATATAACATGCTGTGTTTTCGGGCCCTTTTCTCCCTGACATAAAAAATGTTAACAACAGTGTACAACAAAAGCAAAATCAATTGAACGGCACTTGATTTATATGGAACAGTTTCAGCCACAGCTATAAGCATCATGGGCCCTTGCTGGCTGACAAATGACAACATGTAGACCTGGTTAAACTTGAGCATTCAGTGGCACCCCATATTTTAGGATATGTTAGGCCATGATCCACATGTGTGTCTTCTCTGTTTTAGTGAAGGACCTCATAATCCAGCAGCACTTCAGATCCCATTTCACACCTTTTCTCCAGGAGACTCCAGTGAAGCCCTCTCAGGTCCCTAACTGGCTCTCTCACCCACCTTCTAGGAGAATGTTGCCATTTCAAAGCCCTGAGCCATGCTACAGGGACAGACTGGGTCCACCATGGCACCCCCCTTATCCTCCGGGACCAGTCCATTCATCAGGGTTTGTTCCAAGCAGCCCAACTAACATTGGTGCCTCCGTGAATAGGTTCCAAACCATGCCAAGAGGCAGACTGGGTCCTCAGCCCCACCAACAGCGTCAACCCCCAGGGTCTTTCTGCCCATCTGGGTATGCTCCAGTCACACCAACTAGTAGTAGTACTACAGCTAATAGGCCGCCGGGCGTCTTTTACCCTGCACCCCCTCAATTCATGAAGGATTTAAGCAACCACTCCCCATCTTCCCACGTCAGGAGAGATCAAGGGACTGAATCCAAGGACAACTGGTCTTACTCAGGAAGCAAAAATGTAACTGCACAAAGACAAGAATCAAACAAGGTATTGTTTTCTTTTTTCAATATAGCCATCAGTGAAACCAGGGCTTGTTTAAAAAACTGTCTTGTTTATAACCTGTACTACAGTATAGCAGTATGCGGTGCTAAATTGTTATGGCTATTAACGTTTACTCTGTCTGTTAGGCTCAATCAAGCGAGGTGAGAGGTTCCATACAAACTATCCAGCTCCATCGACCCCCTATTACCTCATCATTCAACACCAGAGCAGTTCAAGGAGTTTGCACACTGGCCCCCTCAGTCTCAGAGCACTGGAGTCCTGCCAGTGGCCCCCCTGACAGCCAGGTGCCCCCGCTTGTCTACCAGTCTTCTCCGAGTCCCCAGTCTTCTGTCAGGAGTAGTGGTTCCAGTTTACCCAACATGCACAGTCCTGTAGCTCCTTGCCAGGTAACATTTGTCATGCTCCATCAAACATCAAGTTCAGGTGGGGGGTTTTGATAATCTGGAAGTCGAACCTCAAATCAGGCTTGTGGCGTTGAAGAGAGCATGATGCTGGGTTCTCAGTCTTTTTAAAACAAAAATTCAGGCGATATACATTTGATAAGTTAAAGAGCATTTGCCAGGTGTTAAGTGTTAAGTTAATTCATTCATTTATTCATTCATTTATTATCCATAACCGCTTGTCTTGACGAGGGTTGCGAGGGGGCTACAGCTTATCCCAGCTGACATTTGGCCAGAGGTGGGGTACACCTAAAACAGGTCAACAGACTATCACAGGGCTGTATTTAGTTTAATTTACTGATATTTATTTAAAAGTGTACTATGCAGGATTGTTGGTGTCAGTTTGGAGGATTGCCAGAATTAAAGTCCAACATTTGTGCAACTTGAGATAGCTTTGTATATAAATACTTGAGGTGTGAACATTGGTGATTTCATCTATGTTCCCAGCAAACACCAGCAAACTTTAACTGTTGTGTTACATGTTGATGTAGGTGGTGCTGCTAAAATTGTCCACAGGTAGTACCAGTGCTACCAGTGGAAAAAGTTAGTTTGGAGCTCTGCATAGCAATGCGAATGTTGCTGTGTTTTTTTACTAAAAGAAGCCTGCTTCTTAAATAGTCACATTGTTCTGTTCTTTTCTTTTGTAGGACCAACAACATAAACGAACACCTTCAAGAGAAAACTTAATTCCAGGTAATAATGTCAAAGTAAATCTGCCCATTTTTCACTTTTCCACCTGTTACTCATAAAGCTACAATCTTTAACCTTGTTTGCATGTTATCTTGCAGTAAGTGACAACAGGCTTTTGAGTTTGTAGAACAAGATTTTTCCATCTTGTAGCATGACTGCACTGAAATTGTTATTGACCTGTGTGTAATGTGAATTTGATTTACCTCAGTGATAAACAGAGATGGCATTGGGAAAGTCAACTAGTCTGGCATGTCATAAATAATTGGGTTGACATTTCCTCAGTGGCAGAATATAATTGTCATCCTCAGCTACAGTACTATTTTTAATGTTTCACTACAGTCCACCATAACAGATTAAAAAAATAATGTAAAAAATAGCTTTAATCATCCAGAAACGTCCTCTCTTTATCATCGATATTCATGTTTTCTGTACTACAGTGTTCACAGGACTTACTTGGCTTTTGCACTTGTGTTTTTAACAAGTTGCTAAAAACCTGGAAACATAAACATGAGCTTGAACTGTTGGTAGTTTCGTAAGAAGCTGTTACTTTTACATGCCACAAATTGCAGTATATGTGTAATTATTTGAATTTTTACATTCTTAAAAAAGGTATATTTTGATGTCTTTTTCTGTCCCCAGTAGTGGACTATAATTGCTCATCTCAGAAGAGGTGCAGGGAGTTTGAGGACTGTGACGACGGTGCCAAGAAACTGTGTCTTCCAGCTATAAACACAGGCAAAGCACAGACACCAAAGGCCACTGTTGGCAACTCACTCAACACTTCACTGATGTCTCAGCCGTCATCGAGGCATTCTTCAGTCTTGGAACTGTCACCCAAAACCATCGATCGCCATCTGTGCTCAGAACCAGAACCAGCACGTGGTCAGTCAACATGCCTGGAACTGTCGTCCACGTTTAAACCCACCCAGTCATCCTGTGCATCACTGACACCCAAAACTTGTTTAAAGAGACAACCATCAACGGGGGCGCAGCAAGCCTATTTAAATTTCACCCAGAACCATACTTTGTTAATAGAGTTAAGGTCACCTCCAAAACCAGATGAAGAGAGTTTGAGGAAAAGAAGTGTGGAAAACGATAAAAGGGATAGGTCAGACCCTTTGTTATCCTCCGAGGCTCCCCAGAAGGACACTGGTAGCTCACCTCATGCTCAGTTAGGCAACCAGCTCTCTGGTCATACTCACCGTAATACTTCAGTCTTGCCAGTCAAGACCCTGAGCAGAGGAAATCATGTGGAGGAGAGCAGAAAGTCGGACAACAGCACTCCAAAACCAGCCTCAAAGACGAATTCAGGTTCTCTGAGTTGTCGCACGGCAGAACGGACCAAAAACCCCCGTCCAAAAAGATCTGTTGCAATCCCTAATGATATAGATGAGCTGTTCACCCCTGATCCCTTGACCTATGTATTCAGCACTGGCCATAAGACTGTAAAGCTCAGGACAGATGGGATCAAATCCCCATTCTCAGAGAAAGGATGTCCATCCAGCACTGTGACCAGCTCCAGTACTTCTGTTACTGCATCCTTGTGTCGCAAAACTGGTTCTTCTCATGCAGTGGACACCCAAGACTCATCATCAGCTCCTCTCCCACAAGTCTACATGCCAACTGTGGCATTAGAGCGGGTAAAACTTGAGAACTTAAAACCCATTTGCTCCAAAAACAGTAAACTCAAAAAGAGCCCCACCAGTTCTTTGGGCAGGCAGCTTAAGGATGAGAGTTTTAAATCTGATGAGAAACACACATCTCTCCTCCCCAACAATGTGGGAACATGCGCTTTAGAGACTGAGACTGTGACCACAACTGCTACAACTCATCATTCTCCATCTCCACTGCTGGAGAGGCAGGCAAGTGAAGGGCGTAGAAAGACGGTGAGTGAAGAGGATCCTATAGATGTGGAGCTGGACCTGGACTTGAGCTTTGCAGTAGATGTGGATCTAACCCAGAGCTCCCAGAGCAGTGAGGACGAACAGCTGATTTCCCTGCAGGAGATGATGGAGCGTGTTACCAAGCCTCCAGATACGCCGGAGAAGGGAGCCTTCTCAGAGCCCAGTACACCTGGACATCGCAGCAGCCAGTCAAAAACTGTAAGCTTCGCATGGCTTGTCTTTGCTGTACATAAAGTTATGAATGAGCATGAACTTGCTAAGCTAAAGGACCAATAAAACCACTAAGTGTTGTTGGTTGTGTTTCCACAGCAGCCATTGCCATCCACGACAAAGTGTGGTACCTACAAGAACAACCTCGACCAGATGCTGAAGGAAATTAACTCCACTAAAAGGTATATTATACAGAAAACGTCACTCCAACTACCTTTTAATTTGAGCTACAAAGCTGCACATGAGAGGAGTTAACTTTTTCCACTGTTTATCCATCAGAGCCAAAGAGCTCGAGGCACAACTTCTAACTGCATGTGAAGAGGACCTGTTGAGAATAGCTGAATACGAGGAGGCTGAGGAGAACCGAGAGGAGGGTGTCTCCACCGAACAACAGTAAATTATACAAAAACACTGGTGCATTATACCTTGTCACTGGCAACCATGCCTTTCACAGCATTTAACTGTTATCTGTATTTTTATGTAATTTGTCTTTTAGGGAATTCTTGCAGCGCTACTCTTTGATGTCCAATGCAATCAGGGAAGTGCCTCCAGGAGAAGTCGTGTTCAACCTGGAGAAATTTGGCCAGATCTTCAGCCAAGATACACTGCAGCTCAGACAATGCATGGTCAGTCCACAGGGGGCAGCACAGAAAACGCTTCTTTGGTAAGTTGTTTTATTGTGTGGACATATGGGAGGTTCAGAGCAACATGTCTTGCCATTGACGAGATTGATCATTTGCCCCAGGGCTGTTGATCATTTTGACCTACCATCCTGTCCATGTCAAGTGTAATACTCATATAAATACTGTATAACATCATTATATGATGGTCAGATCAGCACAGCACATTCATGCTTCCCAGAGGATGAATCGTTTTTGTCTTTGACAACAGCTCCTTTTGCATATCCCTAAGGCCAATATGTGAACTTATCTGCACACAAGACATCTTCTACCATCTGGTAGAAGGTTTAGAGTTCCTCACTGCAGACTGAACAGATTTAAAAACTCGTTTGTTCCTGTGTCAATAAAGCTAGTAAACAAGGTCAGATAAGACCAGAGCTCAGATGACTTGCTTTTGTTTGTTTTGCACAGGTTAGTATTTTTACTTATTATAATTTTAGCATTTTATTAGCCCTATTAGGTGTTATTTATTCATTCTTTTATTTATTCATTTTTTAATTCACCATGTTTCTTGCACTTTTCGGCACCTTGTATGATATGGAATGCGCATATCTATTGTATGTTTGGTATTGTGTTGTATCGTATTGTAGGTTCTGTGTTGTGGCTGCAGCATGAGCGAACAGCCTAGAACAAATTTCTCACTTTGTGAGACAATAAAGTTAATCTTGTATCTTGTATCTTGTATGATGGCTCGTTACTGCGTACAAGGGGATGGACCTTTTGATTTTAATGACACCATGGCATTTCCTTAAGGCCACCCAGAGGACAAATTAAATTTTTAACCTCTATAGTGAACATTGCAGCCTATATTGACAAATACCAAAGCTTTACATCTGAAATACATGGGGCACAAACATGGCATGACAGTTAATGTGTCCATTATTTTTCCTACACATGCCTCCGCTGCCCTTAAAAAAATGTAAAAACTACTCTGAACTGTGTAAAAAAAAAAAAAAAAAAAAAATTACAATCTGTTTGAAAATTATTAAAATGAATACCTCATTGTACCAGTGGCAATGTGACACAGAAGAGCAACCTTGTGTGTGTGTTTTTAATTAAAATCAATCATAACAGTGCATCCTGTAGCTAAGTGATCCAGTTAATTCATGTAGCACCAGTTAATATTGCCATTTTCACTTGGTAAAACTCAGTATGCACACAGTGAAGCTGGCACACAACCACAAACGCTACAAAGACGGAGTCTGTGTAGCAGGTAATAAAATAAACCCTGAGCCACCCTGCCTACGTGACACGTCTGTGCCCCATGTATTAAGGCCGTTTTTCATCTTACTGTCTGATTTAATGAATACCTTTTCTCTCAACTTATGTTCCCCAGGTCCAGCCCTGCTCAGCTGAGACTGCATTTAAATATTGGATTGTTCCAGGAAGCTTTCGACTGTCACTCACCCTGTCCAGCTCAGGTTACCCGTTTCCTATTCAAGGTAGGCCCCACGCACACCTGTAGCATGTCACTAATGATTTCTGTCCAAATGTCTGAGCTTTGGAAGTAATTGTTTGTTGATTCTGTCAGATGATGTCAGTCCACAATGAGAGGATAGTATCTGAAAAGATTCTTCAGGCCCTCTGTGACATTGCTTGCACAGCTGCTTATCAGATAGGTCAGTTCCATTCACTCAAGCTTTTGGTATTTTGGTATTTCCTTCTATTGTTAAGACATGTAACCATGTTTTTTTTTTCCCGTGCGTGCTTCCTCAGTGAAAAATGGAAATGAACAGTTTAAAGTGTGGGTACCCAGTTTGGCCGATGTGGCCTTGGTCCTGATGAATATGGGAATTGCGTTTGTCACTCTCTTCCCTTTTGAGAACCTGCAGCCTCCATTCACAGAGGGAGATTTGCTGTGAGTAGTGTTCCTGTTTCATACATTTCCTTGTTTCCTATGTAAGAGCTTAGAGTGTGAGCTGAAAGTTGTTGTTTTTTATTTCATGCAGTTGAATATCTGTCTGTTTGTGTAGGGAGGACATATGTATCAAAAGTGAGAGTCCCTCTAGTAACAAGGAGCAGACCATTTTCCCCGAGCACAACTGCAACAACATCCTGAAGGTGAGATGCAAACGCAAACAGATGTCTGATAGGAGCAGTTTGCTGTCGTGTCTGTGAGAAAGAGAGTTTGGCAAAGAGAGCACAGCTTCACCATTCAGATCATTCACCTCTTGGTTGTTTCCTCTGTGTTCTCATCTGCAGTACCTGTCTTACTGTATGGGCCTCTGTCCAAAGGCATACAGTGACGATGAGCTGCTGTTGTTGCTTACCGTGGTGGGAAGGGTGGGCCTGGACACACGGCTCATCCTCCAGTCCAGTGTGGAACTGTACCCTTTTCAGTACAAAGTTGTCAACAACATCAAGGACTGGGACACCATGGTTAGTTCATGCATACCTCTGATTCCATGAAAATCACTGATGTGTTTTTTCCAGGCTTGGAAAAGTTTTTGAAAAATATTACATTAATCTGAATATTTACCATTACATGACATATAAAATCATGTTAATCGCTGTGGGCAGCTGGCTTAAGGTGCAATGTGTAATGCCTGACCACATGGCACTCTTAAATGCTTGATTCTGACTGGTCAATCAACAAAATTCTGCGGTGTTTATTTCTTGAGGTATCACCGTTGCTCTGCTGCTCCGTTGCTAGAGACGCCATAGCAACGGCCTTAGACTGAGGAGCATCAAAATCAGTTAGCGTTATTTTTCAACAGTCACCGGCTCACTATACATTATCCCTTACATAACTGTCTCCAGCGATTGAAAGCCACACCAATGTTTACTCTTGTTTTGCTTCTTTTTATGTCACCTATTTTGTTTTCCGCCAAATGTGGTTTCCTGCAGCAAGCTGGTGGTTGGGTTGGTGATAAAGGTCACTTACCAAGAGCTTCAGCCATCTTTATGTTTACTGTGCCACTTACCAGGGCTTGTGCTTTTAACATAATTGATAAGCTCTCAGGGCAGCTCTACTTCTTCGTCCTCTCATGTTGGATTAGGGGAGACTGGATGCCATGGTGACTACGTATTGCCTCTCGAGGTATAAGTGGTATTACAAGACAGGACCGGCTGGGGCTAGCTAGTTAGCATGCTCATTTCAGATATCTAATAGTAGTTGTAACAACACAAATAGATGTCTTTGACATAATATCAGAACTATTACTTTAACATCCTGTTCATTTTATCAATGTTTCAGACTAAAATTCTGCCCATATTTTACACTTTGCACCTTTTAACATCAGATGAAAATCTTTAAAGGTGTAAAAAAAAAGAAAAAAGTGTTTAATACATGTTTGGAACTATTGTGATTAATATTGTATGTCCTTACATGCATACAGAGAACTCACAGAGTGTTTGGTTGGGATTTTTTTTAAAGCATGGAAATCAACTGACCAAAGTGTTTATGAACCCTTTTCACCTTTAATTTATAAAATAAATGATATTTTTTTAATATAGTTAATTATTGATTATTTATCTGAAATGTCTTCAGCTGCCCAGAATCTGTCAAGCCCTGACCGATCTGACAGATGACCACCACAACATGTGCCTGCTTGTTCAACTGCTGCCTGACAACACACGTGGAAAGTAAGTCTTTTAATCTGTTTTTCTCTGCTTGTCTCTTCTTTATCCAAACAATGAATCTTTTAATTTTGATAAATGATTTTATTGTATTGCACATTAAAAGCTGTTCACTTTTGTTTGTATAGGCAACTGCGGAGACATCTGAGTCTGTCCATGATCTCAAAACTGCTGGACGGAAATTGCACTTACAGACCTACAGAAAAGGAGTTTCAGGTAATTTGCTTCAGTGTGTAACCTAAACCTACACAGTGTGCTGTAGAGCCCAACAGATGAAATATGTGCACTTCAGTAATCTATAGTTAATAATCTATAGTTCTCCCATCCTCTTGCTCTTGTATGCTCAGCTTTCTAAACTGAGGCCATACCTGCCTCGTATGCAACCCTCCACCCTTCTCCGATGCATGCTGAGCTCCTCCAGCAGGAGTCAGAAAGAGAAAGAAGACGACATGAACACCTTAGACCAACAGGTGAGCATATGCCTGAAACCTTAAAATGTTCCAGCCTAAAACTCTGTCTCGAATTCTCCACTTGTTTGTCATGTCTAGTGATTTTTTTTTAATGTGTAAGTAAAAGAATCCTGAACTGGATGTTACTGTGAATGGATCAAAGCAGATGTTACTGTGAATGGATCAAACATAATTTACATAATTATGTTTGATCCATTATTATTATAATAATGCAACTTTCTTTCCATGTATTCTTTGTCTCAGTCCTACTACCTCTGCTACAGCCTTCTGACCTTGGCAAATGAAGCTTCCAATTTTCAGTTCTTCCCAGCTCATCAAAAGGTGCGACTTACATCATTTCCATTTTTTCTGTCCTCAAGTGTTGGGCTACTTATTTTTAATCAACTCATTTAATGTTTGAAGATGGTGATATCCTTCTTCCTGTGAGAGGTGTGTTAATGTTTTTTGCCTTTTTCTTCTGATTTACAGAAGCAGCTGCTGGTTTTATGCTATGAGCTAGAAACGCATGTTAAGTGTGACATTAGAGAGAGCGAGAAATGTCTCTACCGGAGCAAGGTGAGTTCGATTTCAAAAAGATCTTTGAGTATTTGTGTGTGTATTGGTGTGTATTTTGAACCCACATGCAGAACATTTTTCTACTTTTTCCTCCAACAAATTAAAAAAAAGTGCAGCCTTGACAGAGGTTTGTTGTTTCTGAATGCTTTCAAGTTTGAACTTCATTGTTGTTATTATCCTGAAGGACATTTGGTTTGCAGCCGTGCATTATATACGTAAATCACAGGAATACAGTGGCAATACACAAAAAAACTTAAGTCAAAAGCACGAAGCAGTATAGAATATAAAAAATTGAAATATTATGAATATTAAAAATTTAGAAATATTCATCAGTAATAAAAACATGTATTAGAGATTAAGAGGGCAATAGACACACTTCTATCCTGGAAGAGATTTTGGACCTGTACCCTCAGCCATTTGTCTGCTACTCTACTCTGCTGTAACTCTCTCAGTGCTGAAAATCAGACTTCCCCCATAGTACACTCTCACACACACACACACACACACACACACACACACACACACACAAAGACCTGCATTTATTGACAGGCTGTTATGTTACGGTGACTTTCCCACATTCACACATATTGAGTTTCTTGTCAGGTACCATGTAAGCTTACATTATGACAGGCTTATGACAAAATGACTTGGCAGCACCTGTTTCTGCATGTGTACAGCGAGAGAGGAGAAGAAGAGAGGTGTGCTGTGCTGCTGCCAGAGGAGCCGTTAACTGAGTTTACTCTGAGCAGCAAGTTGATTAAAGAGTCTAAAAAGTCTGGGGCTGTTCATAAAACATTCAGACTGCCCAGTTCTAACAACGCCACTCAGCATGGGCCGGTAGCAGTCTCAATTTCAGCTATGTTGTTGCTATGTGTAACAGTATGTCAACAAGTCGGATGATATGAAATTAAACCAGCACTATTATGAATGATATGATATAACACACCCATGTTGTTTTTGCTAAATTTGTGTACAAGAGAAGAAAAATAGCAGACAAAATACAACCCTGTGGAGAGTCTGTTAATAAATGAGATTTACAATTAGAAGTAACAAAGAAATAACTGGCTGGATTGTGCGACTGACTGGGGGAAAGTCAGTGAGTAAGAGCTTAGTGTTGCTCTCAGAAACCTCCAATGGTATTAAGTCTGGCATCTGAAACACCTCTGTGTGTTAAACATGTTGAAGTGGACATACCTGATGTTCCACCTGCCTCAGTATCTCTTGTTTAACCAGTCTCTCAAAACTTTCCATTACTAACTAGCCTCATTCAAATAAAAACCCTTTGAATGCTATGTTGATGTCCATGGCAGCACTGTCCCTGACACTAGTTTTATCACAGAAATCATAGCTGGCAAATCTAAACTAAAAGCTGCTTGAGTTATTCACTAGCTGCTCATCAGAACTAACCCCATGCAGAGAGACTATACTGCACTTACTGCGTAGACATGCCGTCACATTCATGCTGTTCCATGCTAACATCCCTTCTAGTAATAGCAGAAGCAATTGTGTCCCCTCTCCAGAGAAACTTTGTAGGGTTTAGTATTTTGGTAAGAGAAAAGCACCTTCATATGAATCCACTATCCCATTGCTGCACACCACAACATTTAGTTAATCAATGCTTTTAGGTGAGTTCTTAAAGATAGATCAGTTTGTACAATCAAAGCACCCCTGGCAGAGGTGCAGAGTATCTGTACAGTCAGGAATATTAAGGGGAAGTTCCTCAGAAGGGAGGGAGGATCACACTGATACAGTAGCCAGTAGTTTGTAGTAGTCTAAAGGGACAATGCATATTAATGAACAAATACATGAGTATATGTAAATACGCCAGATTGTAGCCCATAGCTAATTTCCATCTGTTATCCCTATAGGCAGGTTGATGTAAAAAATGTAGTGAAACAGCAGCGACAAAAGACAGAGTTAAAATTCATAGCAACCCGGTAGACACAAATACAGAAGACACAAGAGGTGCACAATATACATTCGAAAGTACATCAAGTGTAGCCCATGACAACACCAGTCAGGTTAACTAATTTGTTTGAGGACTGTTACATTAAACGCTAGCCCACTGAATTTGGTAGGGGTGGGAATCTCTCGGCACCTCCCAATTTGATTCTGATTCAGAGGGCTACAATGCGATTACAAATGATTACTGATGCATTTTGATGGCCAAAACTCAAGAAGTAGCCTCACTTAGAACGCAAACACATCACGCATGTTTATATCTGTTCCGTTTCACTATCTGGTTGGTTCAGCTGTAAGGGACGTACAGCCTGGTCTTACAAAATTGTTACAGGTGATCATAATGTTGAGAATTGGTCTTGATTGATCTTTCCATCTTACTGTCAACAAAAATCCACAATTAAGGAGTTGGAACAGGTGAAGTTTTGACGTCAACAAACAATTATCTTAATTTTTGATGATACCTTAATCAATCATTGCTGTCATTGTTTCAAGATGCAGTCATGCAAGCCAATCATTAAAAGCAGGCTGCTCTCTCTTGTAGAAGTGTGTTTGACAATGTCTACCTCCCCCTTCTTCCTCCAGGTCAAGGACCTGGTGGCCAGGATCTACACCAAGTGGTCGATGCTCCTTCAGAGGACCAGGCCCCTCCATGTACAGTAGTCTTATACTTACTCTTATATAAATAATTACTTAAAACAAATTCTTCGTCTTTAAAAGATAAAAGCAGTTAAAATAAGGAGTCCTCAAATTATGTCAAATGATTGTATAATTCTGATGTACAATTCTATATTGTCCTCCTGTAGGGTAAGCTGTATGATTATTGGCAGCCTTTGTCTGTGGATACATTAACAAGCAGCCAAGAAGAGGAGGAGGTGGTCAACAGTGATGATGAAGAGGGGCCGGTGATGGAGGAGAGTGAAGAAGAGGAACCCAATGAAACTGGAACTGAAGAGGTTGCAATGATATCTGAGGACGAGGACAAGGAAGAGCGAGACGATACAACGGATGACACGGATAAAACGGAGGATTACATAAAGCCAGACGAAACAGAGGCAGACGATACAATGGACACAAACAAGATGAGGGGCGACGTAAAGCCAGAAGAAACGGCGGGAGATGATACAGTGGACACAAACGAGACTGGGGG